GAACGATGAAATTTCACGAAATTTTGAAAGTAAAATAGATCGATACTGCGTTTTTAAAAATCAATTTGATATCAGCATACTGTATGAAAATAGATTTGAGTATATTATTTTTCAAAGTGTCAGAAATGGATAACAAAACTGCTATTTTCAATGACTACTTATTTTTGTCCAGCTTTAACATCAGTATCGATATCGGTTATCGGCTACATGAGTTTTAAAATATCGGCATATCGGATATCGGCCAAAATCCCAATATCGTGCATCCTTATTTAAAATAAGATATTCAGATAAAATGCACTTGAAATAAGACAATGCGATTGTGTTTTCTAAATGTAATTTGTCTTGTTCCATTGGCAAAGTGGATCTTTTTCCTCCTCAATCCAAGAAAAATTGCACTTATTTGAAGAAATAATGACTTATCTAGATTTAGATTTTTTCCAGTGCATCTATTCGTTATGAGCTACTAGCATTGGAAAGCAGGAATAGTCACATCATAGTGTTATGTTTAATCCGGGAGCCAAGGTCAACTGACTAAACTCTGTTGATCGTACCAAAAACTAAAAGATTCACAGTAGCAGGAAGTTAAGCTGCTAAAACAGCCAAGATGATAAATGCCTGAGTAATTACTGTCAGCAGATGGCAACAACCTACAATAATGTTTATGTCTCCTAACCGCACCCTCTCAGAAATTATTTTCAGGCTCAAAGAGAACTAAATAAACATCATCAGCTATAGTGCTTCCTGTATTTTGACACAAACACATTTTTGTTGTTTTTAATAGACATAGTGCATATAGAGAACTTTAAGTAGGGTACAACACATTTTTTGTGTTCGGATTTTTTAAATTATTTTTCCTTTCAACTGGATGAATTCTAAAAACACAAAAAACATCACTTTACCAGGAGTCTATGATTACTTTTTGTATCCACTTTCAGTGTGTCATTACTTTTACTTATTGCATGTCTTCTTTTAAACATTTATATTATGTGTTGTTCATTCAGAACAAAACTATTCTGGCACCAGAACCGTTAGTAATGGAAGACTTGGAGCCTTTGATGAGTCAGTTAAACAATTGGAACTTTCCTATTTTCACCCTAATGGAGAAGACAAATGGAAAAAATGGAAGGATCCTCAGTCAGGTGAGCGTATTAAAAAACATACAGAAGTATAAGTGATAATGAATCTTTGCAATTTGTACTTTGTATGCGGATTTTGACAAAAATTCACAAATAAAATTCTATTTTGTTCTTAAAAAGAAATAAAACAATTAAATTTCCAATAAATATGCTAAATAAATGTTTGTTAATGTTATCCATGCAATTAAGTTTAGTCCCCTGGTGTTTCTGATGCACAGTCAGAAAGAAAGAACATTTAAAACAAATGAAAAACACACGCTCATTAATAAACGAGAACATGTTTATAGGATATCAGATGCACACTTAATCTTCCAGAGTCACAGTCGCTTCTCTCTTACACTGATGAACGAGCAGAGAACTTCTTTCTCCACACGAACAACTGCCAGGTGCTTCAGACTTGGCTTGGGATTTCTCATTAAAAACCCATGTCTGGAATAACTCTCAGGAGTCTGCATAATGTAAAAGTCTCTGGATGATTTGTAAGAAAGGGGAAAAAAAAAACGATTCTCTTTTTAAGGAGGCTTTGCTCAAAAACAATGTAAGCGAAGCTATTCGTTTTAAGAGGTTACACTGATGAGACCAAGCTGCATTTCTGACATGCAAATCTGTCTGTTGCACAGAAGGTCATGTACTGTAAATGTATATTCCTCTTAGCAGAATAGAATAGAATAGAATAGATTGTTATTGCAGATCAGAATGCACACATTTATAAAGTACCAAAATAACAAGAATGTTCCGCTAACAATGAAAGACAAATTAGCAGAAAACATAAAAATAAGTAAACTCATATAGTCATACATTCCTTTTTGTAGCTGTTTTTAACATTGGTGACACATTTAGCAATGAAGTTATATTTCATGTGTTAATTAATACCTTTTTAGTTATCTAATCTTTTGAAAGCCGTGTGGTTTTTACAGATGACTTTGTGTTGCAGGTATCTTATAGGCTCTTTGAGGACACTGGCCTGTTTGAGACCTTTAAAATCCCTGTTAAAGAATTCATGAACTACTTTCATGCTCTGGAGAGCGGCTACAGAGACATACCCTGTGAGTTGGAATTGATCTCCGCTGTATGTTCTGTTATTTACAAAGTTTTACTGTCAGGTTTTATTTTTCAGAGTTGTAAAAGATAAAAGCAACCACTAGATGGAAATACTATACCATACACTTCTTCCTTTTTTAGTAATGCTACTGTGTACAGTACCATGAAGTCTGGGTTTTTTAGGTTTCTATGAGAAACATAAACAGCCTAACAGTGCACTCTAGTGGACAGTGTTGTAATTTAGAAAATCATGTTTTTTTTTTTCTTTTTTATCAGATCACAACAGGATCCATGCCACAGATGTGCTTCATGCAGTCTGGTATCTCACTACGCAGCCTGTACCTGGTTTACCCAGCCTAATTAATGATCACGGCTCTGCCAGTGACTCAGGTACGCCCCCATCTTACTAGTCCCTCAAAGTGCAAAATAAGGAAAATAGCTTTTTTTTTTTTTTTTTTAAGAAGTTAATAGAAGATGTTGGGGGGGATGTTTTTATTTTT